TAAATAAATAAAAAGGTTTTGTGCAGCAGATTTTCATAATGCAATACGTCGTTTGATTTCTCAACTGCTGTTTCCATGAGTGTTGATAGTTGATCCAAGAAGAATGAAGTCCTTGACAACTTCAGTCTTTTCTCCTTTGATTAGAATGTTGTTTATTGGTCCAGTGGTGAGGATTTTTGTTTTCTTTACATTGAGATATAGTCCATACCGAAGGCTCTTTGATCATCTTCATTAAATATTTTAAGTCCTCTTAGCTTTCAGCAAGCAAGGTTTTCTGCATATCGCAGGTGTTAATGAGTCTTCCTCCAATTCTGATGCCACATTTTTTTTCATATAACTCAGCAACTCAGATTATTTGCTCAGCATACAGGTTGAATAAGTGTGGTGAAAGAATACAACCCTGTTGTACACCTTTCTTAATTTTTAACCATTCAGTGTTCCCATGTTCTGTTCAAACAACTGCCTCTTGGTCCATGTACAGATTCCTCATGAGCACAATTAAGTGTTCCAGAATACTCAGACTTCACAATGTTGTCCATAGCGTGTCATGATCCCCACAGTGAAAGCCTTTGCATAGTCAATAAAGCACAGGTAAACCTCCTTCTGATGTTCTCTGCTTTCAGCCAAGATCCCTCGTTCCATAACCTCTTCTGAATCCGGCTTGAACCTCTGGAAGTTCTCTGTTAATGTATGCTTGCAGCCGTTTCTTATTACTGTTAGTAAAACTTTACTCACATGGGATATCAAAGATATTGTCCTATGATTTCTGCATTCCACTGGGTCACCTTTCTTTGGCATGGGCACAAATACGGATCTCTTCCAATCAGTTGGCCAGATAGTTGTCTTCTAAATTTCTTGGCATAAATGAGTAAGTGCCTCCTGTGCCTCATCACTTTCTTGAAAGATTTGATTTTTATTCCATCAATTCCTGGTGCCTTGTTGTTTGCAAATTCCTTCAGTGCACCTTGCTCTTCTTCCTTCAGTATCACTGGCTCTTGATCATATGCTACTTCTTGAAATGGTTAAACATCAACCATTTCCTTTTGGTACAGTGACTCTGTATTCCTTCCATCTTCTTTTGATGCTTTCTGCGTCATCATTCAATAATTTGCCCAGCGAATCCTTGAATAACAAAAGTCGAGGCTTGAATTTTTTCTTCAGTTCCCCCAGCTTCATTTTTCCACAAATCATCATGTTAAGCTAAGGATTTTCTTTCTATGTGCTGTAGAAATCTGATCATTAAACCATCAGAATGCATTAATATAGTTACGAAAGAAATACACAAAAGTCAATGTATCTCCCAAAGAAATTTGTGTTTAAAAAATAATCCTCAATCATTCTATGGTAATGATGGTCTTTTAAAATAGGGGCGTGTGGATTAAGTTAAAAATTTCTCATCTTAAACATTTTAAGATTGTGATGGTTGACAAATTGTTTTAATCATTTAAAATTATGGTAAAGGTGATCTGTATAGGATTGAAATAAAATAAAACCTACTTTAGTTCACTAAGGTAATTCTTCTTCTTTTTCAAATAATGGCTTGGAGGATATTTTAAACTGAGAAAAAAATAATGAGACATCTGTGTAGGTTTTTAAAGCCAGTTTGGTTTTTGGAAATGCTCTTTTTACTTTGTTTAAATATCTTTTCAATAAGGAATTAGAAACTGCAGCAACAGGATTCATAGAAAGTGACCACGAAAAGCTATCAGTTAGTAAATTGTAACCTGTTGATATCAATCATGTCTAATTTTTGGCAACTTATTGACTGAAATCAGTTCGGCATCAAAACGGTTATTCAGTATTACTTATTCTTTTTATTCAACCATTCCTAGAGTGTCTCTAGGAATAGACAAGTAAAATTGCTGATCAAATTTAAGAATTTTAAAGGTTTTAGTAATTGTTGCTCTTGTTCACATATTCAAAACTAACATTTAAAACATTTAAAAAAAATTTATATTGAGGTGAAATTCACATAACATATAGTAAACCGTTTAAAAATGTACAGTTCATTGGTATTAAGTGTATTCACAATATTGTGCTCTCCAAAATTTTTTCATCACCTCATAAACACATTTTGTATCCATTAAGTAATCACTTCCCAACTCCCTCTCTGCCTCTATCCCTTGGTAACCTCTAATCTACTAATTCTGGATATTTCATAATGTAGTGAAAAGTGGGAAATCCAGAAGGTGAAGGCACTGCCTTGTTTTTCCATCTCGCATGTCTTCCCTCTTACCACTTTTCTGTCGCTCTGACAGGTTTTCTACTTACACAGGTCCAGCATTCATAGGTTTTGCTGTAAATGAAATATACAATATATGACCTTTTGTGTCTGTCTTCATTCTTTAAAAGGTGTATCTAAGTTTTAACATGTATTGGTACTTTTTATGGCTATATAATGTTACATTGTATGTATATGTATAGCACAGTTTGTTTATCCATTCATCCATTGGTGAATCTTTTAAGTTGTTATAAATGATTCTGCTATATTTGTTTATGAATATAAAACATTATTTTATTTTTCACTTACAGAATTTGTAGATAATTCCATATGCATCCAGTAAAGTTAAACTTTCCATTACTACTGTATTATTGTCTACTTTTAATATATTTCCTTAAGATTTTACTTTAGTTAAGAATTCCACTTGCGTAATATGAGTTTTTAAAGCCTTAGTTGTCTGAATGGTGTGTGGTATCTTCCTTTTCCAAATAGGAAAAAAGGTTTCTGACAGCTCAGCTACAGGAAATGCAGAACCAGAGCCTGAATCTTTTCCAGAAGAGAGATGAATTGGATGAATTAGAGGGGTTCCAGCAGCAGGAACTGAGTAAAGTAAAGCACATGGTGCGCACTTTTGTTGTAGTAGCTAACCGGAGAATACATGATTAGTAACTTTTGCTTGTTATTTACTGCTTTTGCTAATCGTTACTCTTTACTTTCTGATAAACATACATACTCCAGTAATCTTTGATAGTAATCATATTAGTATATTTTTCAATTAGCTAAAATGGAAAATCTCTGAAACCTATTCTTTCGTTTTTGTTTTTTTATTTTCTTGACTACTGGATATTTTTTGGCTGGAAAGACCTAAAGATACATTATAAAAGTTTGACTTATTGGTCTAGGTTTATTAAAATGTTATATATCAGCAATAGCACAGTGAAGCTTTACATCTTTTGTGTCAGCTTTTAAAAAAAGAAGAAAGTCTGGGGAAACTAGAGCAAGAGTTGGAGGCACGAACCAGAGAACTTAGTCACACCCAGGAGGAATTGATGATTTCTAATCAGATGTCTTCAGAGTTAAGCCAGAAGTTAGAAGAATTGCAGAGACACTACTCAACGCTGGAAGAACAGAGGTTCTTGCTTGGTCTGTGGGGCCCATGGGAAGTGGTGTTAGTGTAGCACTGGCTGTAGCCTACCCACCTTTCCCTGTTGCTCATTGCAACACTTTCTGATCTTAGTGCTGGCAAATGTTTCTGGACTAGTCCTCACCTGCCTGGGGCTCAGGAATCCCTCTCTGTTCCCTCTCAACTTTCTCATCAATCTTCTCCTTCTTCCCCTGCCTACATGCAGAATCACTCCACCCCGAGTTGATTCTGAGTAATTCAGTATGGTTTTAGTTTGTCCGCTATTAAATAACCAAAGGCAGATGAGGATTTCTTCCTTAAACTTGGGTGAAATTTTTCTCTTTGAACTTCTGCTTCAGTGGAAGCCAAAGAATGTTTTCCAGTGATAATTCACTTGGGTTAATAATGTTTGCAACCTTGGCATATGAAGAACCATCTGTATTTTTCCTTTGGAAGAATATGTGTCAGATGAGATAATCCGATTTTTTTCATTGTCTGCTTCCTTTCAATGAAGAGATCATGTGACAGCTTCAAAAACAGGTGCAGAAAATAAGATCGCAGCCCTGGAGCTAAAAGAACAAGAGCTTCAAACTTCTATTCAGCAGCTTTCCATTAACTTGCAAAAGGTAAGTAGAGTTTTAGGAATGGACCTGAATTTCTAGGATTCGTGAATTGGGGCCAAAATGATTTCTTTCAGGAACCTCAACCTAAGAGTGGCTGCTAAAACATGTCTCTCATGTAGTCCACATTGCCCTAGTTCTGGTCCAGTCAGGCTGCACTGAGATGGATAGGACCACCCTAGCTGAACAAAGGTTACTTAACAGAAGTGTTCCATATTGTCCTGACAGGAATTCTCAAAACATATCATTTGTCCTAGTTAAATACATTTTAAAGTACCACATAATGGATGAGCATAAAAAAACAAAATCTTGGTTGACATGGCCAGGGTTGTATCTTTGTCATGTTGCTGTGTTAGTTGACTTTAAGTCTGTTCCAGTTCACATTGACCCCTATGTACAACAGAACAAAATGTTGCTCAGTTCTCTGCCATCTTTAAAATCATCGCTATGTTTGATCCATTGGTGTAGCCGCAGTGTCCCTCCATCTAATTAATGATCTTACTCCTTTCTCTGACCCTCTACTTTACTGAACATTATGCCCTTTCCAAGGACTGGTTCTTCCTGATAACATACCCAAAGTACATGAGATGAAGTCTTGCCATCCATACTTCTTTTTTTTTTTTTTTTTATGTTTTTATTTTGCATTGAGTGAAAGTTTACAGGGCACATCATCAGCTTCACATTCAACCATTCATATAGCTTGTTTCATTACATTGATTATTATCCCCTCCATATATCATCAGTTTACAGTGTTTCTCTCTATCCTCTTTAGCTTTTTTTTTTTTGGATGGTGGGGGGACTTGGCTTATTGGAATTTACAGTCTCGGCTTTTAGGGAAGGTTTTTACATTTGTCTGTGGATATCCAGGGCTCATGTATGAGATTACTAACAAGCATTACTGAATAATCAGATGAGGGACAGTTTGCTATGTCTACTAGGTGGCTAGAGTCTGATCCTCAGAGCCTATGGTTTGGACGGTCAACAACGCTTGGGCCCACAGGGGCTTGGCCTCCTGACCGGGTCTGTACTGTCTGCATCTGAGTCCTTCTTATTTATTGATTGTTTAAGGGACGCTGCCTGTCTTAGGTGGTCAGTGCGAATTCCTCAGTCTTACCAGTCATTGAGACTCATTGCAGCATGGCAATGTCTCTGTCCCAAGTAGCCGAGGTTCCACGTGATCCTTACCCGTCTCTGGCCACACGTCCAGCATAAACAGCCGCCATCCGAGGAAGGCAGGGAGGGCCATCCACACTTCTAAGGAACATTCTAGCTGTACTTTTCCTGAAACAAATTTGTTCTTCTGACAGTCCATGGCATATTCAGCAATCTTCACCAGCACCATAATTCAAAGGCACTGATTCTTCTTCAGTCTTACTAATTAATTGTCCAGCTTTTGTATGTATATAAGGTGATTGAAAATACCATGACTTGGGTCAAGTACATCTTGGTCTTCAAAATGACATCTTTGCTCTTAAAGAACTTCTTTAAAGAGATGTTTTGCAGCAGATTTGCCCAACGCAATATTTCATTTGATTTCATGACTGCTGCTTTCATGGGCATTGATTGTAAATCTAACTAAAGTGAAATCCTTGACAATTTCAATATTTTCTCCAATTATCACCTTATTACTTATTGGTCCAGTTGTGAATATTTTTGTTTTCCTTATGTTGATGTGTGGTCCATAGTGAAGACTGTAGTGTGTTTTAAGTCCCCTTCACTTTCAGTAAGCAAAATTATGTCATCTGCATTGCAGATTGTTGATGAGTCTTCCACCAATCCAAATTCTATATTCTTCATATAGTCCTGCTTCTGGATTTTTGCACGACATACAGATTGAATACAGCAACAACAACAACAAAAACTAGATTGGATATTGTAGTCTATAATCACAGAAAAGGGAGAGGAGGGAGAGAAAAAAAATCTGTAGCCTAATATGAGTATGGCTTTAATGTCCTCTTTCAGCTTCTTGCCTTCAAAAATGCCGAGAGATTTTAAGATGCCACTGTTGGTTGTTAAACTGTACCTCAGAATTTAATTTACTTTTTGACCTGTTTTGTTTTTAAACTCTCTTTTCCTCTCCATACCCCTTGTTCTGGCCTTTTCTGTATTAAAAAAAACAACAGTTCACGGCTGGCTCTTGGGTTGAGAGTATCTATGCACATGCATGGCAGAAGAACCCACCAGTGGTGGGGGCGTGGGGGCATTGAACAGATAGCAAAAAAAAAAAAATAAGATCAGAACAAAGTAAAACCGACAAAGTGTATTGTCCACCTTTGCTTCAAGGTTCCTGCGGCATTTTTCCATGGTGTGTCTGCTCCCCCGCTTGGTCTTGCCATTTGGTCTCACCCAAGTTGTCGGTTCCTAGGCTTTGAGCCCAGTAGATTCAAAAGTATGCTATTTCTTTATTTCTGCTACAAGTTCCACTAACTATAAGTCTTCTAACTTTTTAAATATCCCTACCTATATGGTTCCGAGTTTTGGAGCTCTGCCCTGAATCTGCTTTGCTTGTTAGTCTGTGCTATTCCTAAAGGCAAACCTCACTATACCTCTATCCTAGCCTCACCTCTCCATTGTCTTTTCATTCCATTTTTCCATAAACTTTTAAAAAACTTTTTACTGTGAATTATGTGAAGGTTAACAGAGCAGATCAGTTTTCATTTAACAATGCACACGTTTTATTCCATGTCACTGATTGCAGTTCCCACAATGTGACATCACTTACTCCATTTCCTCTCTGTTTCTTATTTCCATTCCTCTTCCTTTCCTATCCCTTCTGAACTGTGTCCTTAGGTAAATGCTGCCCTTTTGATCTCAGATGGTTGATTCTTCTAAAGATTACTAGCTTCCCTAGTATTACTGTTCCTTTCGTAGATCTGTGTATTGTTTGGCTAAAATTGAGCCATGGGGCTGAGTTCATTTTCAGACTTGAAGAGGTCTTGGGGGTTCTACCAGTCTCTATCCAACCAATAAGCCTAACATTTTGTTTTTTAATGATTTCTTTCCCCTCATCATTTCCTCCCACTCTCTCCAGGACCTTCTAATGTGACCTTCTAATGTGACCTTCTAATGTGAGCAGTTGATAGTGGTAGCCAGGTACCACCTCGTTCTGCTTTTTGGATCACTCCATGGACTTTTTGAAGCCTCCTCATATATAATTGCAAATTATGATACTGTGATATTTTATAGCTGGATATCAGATCTAGTCTCAGAATCATAGAACACTTTCCTTGAGGAAATAACACCTGAGCTGAGGTGCCCTGTAACACAGGAGGGGAAGAGATATAAAGAATTTCAAGCAAGGAATAGCATGTACAAAAGCCCTGAGGCAAATAAAAGAATTAGCTGTTCAAGGAACTGGAAGAACAGACTGGATTGCACACAGGTGAGGAGAAGAGTGGATTACTCTGGCTGTTATGAGGAAACATACTGAAAGGCCTTCTCTATAGGAAGATGAGTTATGAAGCTCTTGCAGTTGTCTTGGAATGAGATGGTAGTGACTTTTGCAAGAATTGTGGTAAAGATGGTGGTAGTATACAGATTTTAGAAATACTGACAAGATTGACCACTAGCTTATGTAGTAGGTATGAGAGGGGAGCAAGCGAGCAGGAGGTGGTTTCTAGGTTTCTTGCTTGAGCAGCTGAGTAGATGATCTTGGCAGGCATTTGGCTAAGAGAATAGCTTTGGAGGCAGGTTTTTGTTGTCATTCTGTTTATTAAGAATGAGTAGATATAAGATGATAGGAGTCCTGGTGTGGCTCTGTGGAATAAGCACTGGACTGCAAGACTGTTCGAAACCCAAGATTGGTGGTTCAGATTCACCAGCTGCTCCTTGAAAACCCTACACAGGGTTGCTATGAGTCAAAATCAACTCGATGACATTTAATAACAATGTAAGATGATAAAAATACAAATAAGTAGAAAGTTTAACAAGGCAGTAAACCCCTATGTAGCTAGCCCTTAGATTAAGAAAAACGTTTTTTTTGAGGTGCCCAAAGGTACTTGGCTTTCTTGCTCCATGGCTGGGACGTCCACTGCTCTGCTTCATGCCCTGGTTCTGCTGCTTCCCCTGCCTTTGCTGTCACTAGTTCTCTGCCACTTCTCTGGTATCACAGCTCGCTGTCTCCTGGATTGAGGAGGTTCAGTACAACAGTTCTGTGGTACAAAGGATATACTCCAGTCCTAGCTCTCCTATCTGGATAAGTAGTGAGATTCTCCTAACCACTTCTAAGATGGCTCATTTTTAACCTAATGGGATGGCAAAGCTGACCAATCCTCATATTAGGGTTCCATACACCTTATTTGCATGGCCCCATCCCAAAGGTGCCATGTATCTTCTTTGGTTTATTAGTGAACTGTCCAATCCCGTTGTTAGTGTTAAGTGCTATCAAGTTGGTTCCAACTCATAGTGACTGGTGGGTTTGAACCACCAACATTATGGTTAGCAGTCCAGTGCTTATCCTACAGCACCACACCAAGACTGCAGTCCCTTTGGTGGGCCACAAACACCTCACATTAGGATAGTCTTACCCAGTTATCTGGTGGGCATTAACAAAGGCTGGCCAGAGGAGCCATGTCAGGTAACTGGCTGCACCACAACTATTTGTGTATTATTAGGATAAATCCTGGTCCCTAACTAGTGCTTTTTATAGGAGTATTTTGAATATTCTTGACCCATTACTCTTGTCAAGCTCCTCAAAAAATGTGTTGAGTTATTGATTGGAATTGCAATGAATCTACAGATCCATTTGAGGGACACTGATTGCTTTATGATGTGAGTTTGTGTATCTAAGAATGTGATCTCTTCAGCTGTTTAGTGTTGGCTTTTAATTTTAATAGCTATCAATAAATGTCTGTAAATTTTTTCCATAAAGCTTATGCAATTGTTAAATGTATACCTGGGTGCTGTTATTTTTACACTAATTGAAATTATGTCATTTTCAAATTATTTTTTCTGTTTGTTGCTGGCATACAGAAATGTTATTTTCTTATGTTAATTACCTTAATAAC